AGACGCGGTGTGGGCAAATTATTCACAACTATTTGAGACGTGACGTGCGATTTAATTTCGAGGACGAAATTTATTTAAGGGGGGTAGGTTGTAGAGACCCTAATTTTTGGTAATTACACTTGATACCCTAACCCTTAGGTTAATTACATTTTAATCCTAAATTTTATAAAATTTTAGAAAATGGTCCAAGAAAGAATTATTTTTCTGTATTTTATTTTGTATTATAATTAACTCATAGAATGCCATTTTTATATTTGGAAATACCCTAACACTTGGCTTTTATTTATGTACCTCCTAGTTTCTAAATTAATTCATCAAATTTATTTTTAGCCTAATTGAATATTTATTAGTTCTTTGAATTTTTATTATTTTCTTTGAACCTTTATTATTTAATTGAGCAAATAAATATCTTTAAATAAATATCTACACATATCTTTAAATAAATAGTTTTATTATTTATTTTAATACAGATTTGAGCAATGGAAAAATATCTAGATTTTTATGCTCATGTCAATGATATATAATGGGTTAATTTTGAGGGCGTTACACTTATAAATTGAGAACTTTGTCTCAATTTTCACCACACATTTTCAACAGCCTAGGGAGAGGGTGAGAGGGTGAAAGTGTGATCAAAGGAAGTAGAGAAGAAGAAGAAGAAGAAAAATAATAATAAGGGTGACTCTCAAAAAGGTAAGAACATACCCCTCCTTTGTCTTCTCCAATTCTTTCACCATCTCCTTCTATTGTCTAATATGCCTCTTGTGTTGCAAATTAATGGTAAATAGGGTTTTTGGTGTATGTTGAAGTGTGGATATGATCAATTGCCATTGTCTTACAAATTTGTGAAATTACGCACTACTGCAACTTCCCTAGTTTTAAATAAATATCAAAGCTATTTAATTCTCAAATCTGAATTTATGGTAGGATATTTGGTGTGTTTAGAGTTTGTAAAAAATTTATTAGCTCCAAATTGTTTGTTTTTAGGGCTTGGATAAATTGTTGAAGAATATGGTCCTGAATCTCTGAAAAACAGTCCACTTTTAGCAATTTTATAAAATTCTAGAAAAATCACCTCTTGCTGGTTCTTCTATCAAAATTTAGAACTCTGAGTCCTCTTTCCAACAGATTTTATTTGAGTAAAAACCATCGGGTAGATTGAGAGAAAAGTTAGTTTCCCCAAAGGGTGACAAATCTGGACAGGTTTTCGAATATAGTGTGTAGATGAATTTGTGGAGGTGCTGTGCAACTTCTGAAAATTGGAATTGAAACTAGACAGATTGAATATTGTTTCTGTGCAATTTGAGCCCCTAACTTGACCTAGAAGTATTTTTCCCAAAGCACTCTTTTTAGCCATGCAGAACCGAACAGTGCAGGAAATGGTGTGTTGTTGTGTTGTTTGTCTCTAAGTATTTTAAAGCATGCCTAATGTTATTTTCTTGCCTTACCATAACTATGTATGATTATCATAGGCTATATTTCATTTCTTATGTTTTTCTCATGCTTTTTTATATTACCGAATTACCGAATGTGACTAGCTTGCTTGGCAAAAGATCTAATAAATGGGAAATGGAAAGGGGTTGGTAGTGGGGGACGTTCACCCTTGTGCTTCAGAATGATTTATGTATTGAACATGTGAATGGAATTAAAACCAAATGAGTTAAGTCTTGCACAAGCGGTCTAAACGAGCCCCTAGGTTGACACGGATGTATTCAGACTCTATGCGGTGGTTTCAGGGTGTAAGCGAGCCCTTTGGTATGATATGTGCAGGGTGTAAGTGAGCCCTAGGCATGATTTGGTATGGTATGTGCAGGGTGTAAGCGAGCCCTAGGCACGATTTGGGTGTAAGCGAGCCCACTTGTTTGGCCGTCCCTTTTGAGGTCCATCAATGTCACTAACCGGTAAATAACCAGGAGGTGGGCATAGGTGGTAAGGTCTGCAAAGCAGCAAAAGGGGGAGTCTGAGTAATCCGGTGTTCAGCCTTGTGGTTGGGTAGAAGGATCTCTTTGGGGGATCCTAGATGTCTAGGCAAACTCCTAATTCATAGAATCCTTGTTGTAATTTTGCATGTTATGTTACCCAATTTGTCCTATGTATGGTTGATTGGTTGATAGAAGATATGGGGATGTGTGTGTTTTTACTGGGCATTCCAAGCTCATGGCGTGTCATGCCAGGTGGTGAAGCAGTTATAATGATGAAAGTTATTGCAACGGAAAATACGATGAAGTGTTGGAGCGGTGGTTCATTTGAAGACTTAGACTAGTTGTTTTTGTTTTCAATGTTTTGTAATCCTGCAATGGAAAATAAACGAATGATCCGTGATACTAACTCTGGTTATATATGTATATTAAGATGTTTTGGTTATCTATCCTATTTGTGTGGTAATATTGTACTTAATTAACGGCCTCGAAGTTGGGGCGTTACAACAAGCGAATGGTAATATTGACTCCCTTTTTATAAGTCTACATTTCTTCAGGCTTAAGTTTTTCTTATCTCTCTAATGATTTTGTATTTATTGTTGTGTAAGCTAAACGTGCACTTCTTTGATTGATGAGTGTTGAAAGAGGGGCAATCTCGAGTGAGCAACAATCTCGAGGGCAGAATGTACACTATTTTTGGTTTTATCGTTGACAAACTTTGAAAATGATTGACGTTGTAGAAACTTATATAGATTTGGTTTGGTTTGAGAGGTAAACATTTGAAGGTGTTTGTTATTTAGATTTTGATCAAGAATACTATTTTTGTATTGGCATGGTGTGCTCCAAAGGGAGAACACCATTTTGTTGTTCCTTTTATTTGAAGTTGTGTTTATAATCAAGGGGATCCCCTTGCTCAAATGTATGTTATCTATTCATTTTTTGTATGTCATGGGAAAACAGATTAGGTATGCTTGATTCTCAGTGTTCCTACCTTAAGAGAGAATGACATATGAAAATTATTCAAACAAAATATTATTTACACTTTGCCTTTAGGCACGGACATACACAAGTATATATATAATGTACAAATTGTATACAAAGAAAATTTTTATATAAAAGTTCAATTTAAGATGATGTAATAACACTATAACAAAATGCACATTCGACGACTAAAATTTTAGTCGCCAAAAGCTATAGAAATGGCGACCAAAAATTTTTTTAGTCGACAAAAATAAAACATTTAGCTACTAATTTCTTTTAGTCGGGGTATATTCATTATTGGCGACTAAAAAAAAATTTAGTCGCTAAAAATGCCAAAATTGGTGGCAAAAAAAAAAATTTGCTCACTGTATATTGACTTTTGGCTACTAAAATATTTAGTCGCCGAATGGGAAATAGCAAAATTATTTTTTCTCTTTGGCAACTAAAGTTTTAGTCACCAAAAGCTTACTTTTAGCGACAAAAAAAAAAAATTAGTCGCCGTATATTGACTTTTGGCTACTAAAATATTCAGTCGCCGACTGGAAAATAAAAAAATTATTTTTTCTCTTTGGTGACTAAAGTTTTAGTCCTCAAAAACTTACTTTCAGCGACAAAATTATTTTAGTCGCCTTTAGCTGACAAAAAGTAATTTTTTTTTATCTTTTTATCTTTGGTAACCTATCTTCAGCAACTAAAATTTAGTCGCCAGATCTGTTCAAAATTTTACTGGGAAAAATTTCATTTCGGCACCTAAATTTTTGCCCAAATGTATTACTTCTTCACACGAATCTTTCTCTCTCTTACTCTCCCTCTGTCTCTCTCTCTCTCTCACAGAGAATCAATCACTCGTACTACCCTCTTGGCTCCCTCGAATCGATTGTAAACCCGATTCAACCCACCTTGGCCACGGAGGACATGAGAGCCGGACGCTTCACACTGAACATTTCTAGGGTTAATGGGTCGGTGGCGATCAATACAGGAATTCGATCTGAAGCGGATGGGAATGGCGTACAGAGATTCATTCTTGCTCTTTGTTGTATAGCATTGTATCTATAAGTACAAGATTGATCATTTCTCATCATAATTATTAATTTTTTCTTTCATTTTTTCTGAGTTTGTTTGTGTATTTTTGCGATAAATTATCATACGAGTAATTGAATTTGGGGCTACAAAATTATTCAATTGAAGTCGAATGTGATTCCACTCCTTGTTCATGGGTTGGAATCGAATGTGACTCTAATCATCACCACAACCACTTTGTAGCTTCTTTAAACCTCTTTGGTTTTCAAATATTGGGTCGATTAGGACCTAAGATAGCTGAATTGACCCAATTAAAGTCCATTGATTTCAGCAACAATGGTTTCACAGGCTCAATCCCTTCTGAATTAGGTAATTATAGTCTCATCGAATACTTGGAGCTATCCCAAAACAGCTTCACTGGTGATATACCAGAGAGCTTTGGGAATTTGCTGAATTTGAGATTCATAAACTTGTATTCTAATTTCATGAAAGGTTCAATCCCTGAATCTCTGTTTCGAATCCCACATTTGGATACTGTTTGGCTCGATGTGAACGAACTTAACGGTTCGATCTCATTGAATGTTGGCAACATGAATGAGATTTCATCTCTTTGGCAATATGGTAATCAATTGTCAGGCACCATTCCTTCCTCCATAGGAAATTGTACCAAATTGGTAGAACTTTACTTGAATGATAATCAATTTGTTGGGGATTTACCGGAGAGTTTGAATAATCTTGAGGAGCTAATGTATCTTGATGTTCGTAATAACAGTCTAGAGGGTACTATTCAATTGGGTTTGGGTAGTTTCAACCAAATGGACATTTTGGTCTTGTCTTTCAACTATTTTAGCAGTGGTATTCCACTAGGGTTGGGAAATTGTAGTAGCTTAACTCAACTTGCCGTTGTTCATTGTGGTTTAATCGGGCCTATCCCACCTTCTCTCGGATAATTAACCCAGCTGACACTTCTTTACCTCTGTGAAAACCGTTTATCGAATAGAATACCACCTGAGCTTGGCAATTTGAAATCCCTGAATGATCTTCAGCTGTATGACAACCAACTTGAGGGGGAAATCTCGAGCGAATTAGGGTTGCTGAGTGAGTTGCAGAACCTTTTCTTCTTTACTAACCATTTGGATGGTGAGATTCCAATAAGTATTTGGAAGATTCAGAGCCTTGAGTTCCATTTGCCGATTAGCTAGATCAGTCTCCCTCTATCTCTCTCTCTCTCTCTCTCTTCCTTCCTCTATTTCCCCATTTCTCAGACTGGCCCTAGGGATTTATATGATTTTTGTTGTTTAATTTTGTGTTGAATTTGCGTTAATGTTGTGTTGATTTCCCACACTTGGTATAGCGTTTGTGTTGATTTTTACACAGAAATCCCAAATTCAAGCTGGATTCAACAAGAATTTGGGACATAATTGGGGTATTCTAATTCTATACTATTTAGTAACACTGATTGGTTACCACAGATTTAAGCAAATTTGAGGAAGGCTGAAACACAAATTTGTTACTAAGAACAGTAGAGAATGAAAATATCATGAACTATATTCATTGTGTGGATTGGGAAATCTCATGTTACATGTTTATAAATCTCATGTTTATAAAGCTCTCTCCCCATATTACATGTTCAAGTTCTTGAAGAAGACAAGAAAGGGTGGATGGATGTCATTGGGTGGAATTTTATTGTGCATAACAGGTAAGATTTAAAAACAATTGTACAAGGAAAAAAAGAGAAGATAATAGGCGATCATGGAGGCGATTGTACCCTCTTGCGAGGCTGGGCATGTCCTTAGCCATCATTCACTGACGAAGGGCCTCAAGTGCCATCTCGACTGGTTTTGCTCCGGGCAGACAAATTGGTGCCAACTACTCCGAGAGCTCATCCAACTTCAATGATAAAACTTAAGCGAAAAGACCAGTTCTAGCAGCCAATGTTGGTTCTGAGATCAAGGTCCATAACCAGAGGCTAACTCTCTTTAACCTATTAACACCGCATATTATAGGTGTTACCCTCATGGCCCAAGTACCCAACAATCATAACAGAAGTTTGAGAGTTTTTCATACTTAAACGATAACCAAACTCATGCATACCTTGGCCTCGCGAAGGCAAAGGCCCCTGGGAGGGGGTTTCCTTGGTATCGATCTCCATCTTATGCATAAAAAACTCTGATACAATAGAAGGCCCTCAGTAATGAGCCTTCAACCCAAACCAATCTCCCAAATTCTATTGCCCAAAATCTTCAACATTCTGCTTAGTAGTTTCTGGCATAGGAAGCCTATGAACTTGGCCTAAAAATTGGCACCAATTTGAAAAACCCATTTCATCTACATTTAGCCCTTCGGTAACAAAGACGCTTAGAGAACCAGGAGCAACGCCATCACCACCCAGACCATAAGGCTATCTTTGAGCACACGATGATGGTCCTCCCTCTCATTGAACTGAAAACAAAGAAGACAATTATTGTTCCAAATGGGAGCATTGTAAGTTTGCCACGGATGCGCCAGGGCCGTTCGATAATGCTTCTCCATGGCTGCTTTTATTGCAATAATTTAGGAGGCCAGAATTGTAACGGTGCCCCAAAAATAATACAATAAATACAACCCCAAAACATATATTAATAAGTGCAATTGCATCAGAATAAGTAATCTTTTCAACTTCATCTAATCACTTAATACAAAAGAGCTTGGTACAAAAAATTGCCCTAATAGGCTACAAATTTTCCAAAGGCTTGGCTTGGTTACAACAAATGAGACCTTAACTTCGTACAAATTAAGCCCTAGGCTAATACAAAAAGTGAAACAAAACCAAGAAAGCTTTGCTTGTGAACAGCATACCATCATTATCTGAAAATGTTTTTCCCAACATAGGGTGAGCCAACCTAGTAGGAATAAATCTACACAATATACGGGATTTAACAAAGCTGTAAGTGAATATGCATATACCATGCTCGGGAATAAAACATTTCATGACATTTATATATGTTCATAAAACATCAAGTCCCTATTCCATTTTCATTTTCCTTCAATTCCGTTTTCATATGTAAGCCAATTTCAATCATTTTTCAGATAAACCCAATGAGACTACAACTCAATGGTTTTTCTACATTTCACAAATCAACACCTAAACACTTTCCAATTGGCCATTTTATAGATATTTCAATCCGCGGGATCGACATCCATGTATAAAGTTTCGCTAGACTTCACCCAAGACACTCCAGCCAACTTAATTTAATAATGGAGTCCATCTCCTTTTACCTCCCAAACAATGGAGTCCATTCCCCTTTCTCCTCCCAAACAATCATACATATGCCTAATGTATTTAAACACATAATCACACATGGAGTACATCCCCGCTTTCTTCTACCAATAGTCCATAACATATAACATGTATATTAAATCATAAGCCCATATTCAATGAAACAACCACATGGGCTTAGTTCAATTC